AGTAAAGAGTTTCTCAGGCACAATACAGGCGCTTGAGGCGAAGGTCGTGGAAGTTAATCGTGAGAAAATCCTATATTTAAATCGTTATAAAGGCCTTAGAATCTGACTTTACGTTAGTACACAGCAAAACGAACTGAGACATAAACAAAAAATCTGATCTATACGTAAATAAAGAAATTGTCTGTTACGTATAAACCGCGTTTACAGAATACTAGAGATGGGACGCAATAGGGAAGCACGACTTCAAAGAACGACTCGGACTCACCACCAGCCATTTATTTACCTGAAGTTCATAGGCAATACTCTCCAACCACAGTAGGGGTCGACTTTCGAAGTTTTCCACTCTGCTCGCCTCCAAATCCAAAACGATCTTCTCTCCTCTCATGCTCCCACTAAATCAATAAATCACAACGCCAGTGCAACCATAATCAATGGCATAAAGTTCAGGTGCTTATTACCTACATGTGGCTGACCAATTTGTAAATTGAAAATTTTCAAAAATGAAAAAAAGAAAGCGAAACTCATAGCAACACGGAAGTAGCCAAGGCGGCAGCAAAGCAACAGCACAACACCATTGGTGGCAGCAACCGCAGATTGCCACTGTTGATTGCCGACTGCTGTTGCTGCTGGCCCGTTACACTCATACTCTCGCGCATACTTATATATATTTATATGCGTGTGTGTTTGTGTATGTATGGACATAAAGACATGTAGCGAGTTGGCGTTGGTAAGCCGCAAAATTACAACAGTGGCGAAAAAAAGTATGCATATTTATTTTAATTTATCACNCTCCAACCACAGTAGGGGCCGAATTTCGAAGTTTTCCACTCTGCTCGCCTCCAAATCCAAAACGATCTTCTCTCCTCTCATGCTCCCACTAAATCAATAAATCACAACGCCAGTGCAACCATAATCAATGGCATAAAGTTCAGGTGCTTATTACCTACATGTGGCTGACCAATTTGTAAATTGAAAATTTTCAAAAATGAAAAAAAGAAAGCGAAACTCATAGCAACACGGAAGTAGCCAAGGCGGCAGCAAAGCAACAGCACAACACCATTGGTGGCAGCAACCGCAGATTGCCACTGTTGATTGCCGACTGCTGTTGCTGCTGGCCCGTTACACTCATACTCTCGCGCATACTTATATATATGCGTGTATGTTTGTGTGTGTATGGACATAAAGACATGTAGCGAGTTGGCGTTGGTAAGCCGCAAAATTACAACAGTGGCGAAAAAAAGTATGCATATTTATTTTAATTTATCACTTAAGCTCTTCTGCAGACACACTAGTTTGAATGTCTGTGCGTTCGCTTATGTACACACATACGAGTACATGTGAGTATGTGTGGCTATGCAAGAAGATAAAATATTTTGTCGAGTAAATTATGTATGCGCCGGTAGATACCTACGCCTGCTGCCTACGAAAGTGAATGCCAAACATCGACGCGCGCACATATCCATCCAATCATTTAAAGCTCATAAATCTCTATTATGAAATTTCGCCCGAAAACAAAAGCAACAACTTAGAAAAACACAAAAGCAAAATTACTGAAATCGAGGAGAGATGATAAATTAAAATAATAAAAGGAATTGGTATGTTGGAAGTTGAAATCTAAAAATTTTGTTGCCAAACAAAACAACAACAGCAAACAAATCAATGAGGAAAGACGTAACGAAGCAATAGAAACAAATTGAATGAACAGCAACAATGGCACTGGCAACAGGAAGCATCTTTATCTTTCAAGTGGCAACTTAGACGAAAATCAACGCAAATAAAATTGAAATTGCAGCACAAGACATACCAACACAAACAAACAAACAAATAAACCAACAAATCAGTTCAATAAAAGGTCAACAAGTGAGACGGTGAGGAAGAAGAAGAGAAGAGTTGCGAAAAAAGCAAAAGGAAATATTTACACTTTGTTGCAGTCGAGAGAAAAGAGCAGAATGAATGCCTGCCAACATCGTAGAGGCCGATTTGCTCCCGGGAATTTGCGGTATTTCTTATTGAGTAAACAAAACACAGGCGCACACAGGCAAACACAAAAACACACGACAAAAATAGTGTAGCAGCAACAAGCGAAAGATGATTGCCAAAGTCAAATGGATTGGCGGCGAATTGTTACCGATAGATGTACAAAAAGGAATAGAAAAATCACTGTGGATCAAATAAAATAAAATAAATTAGAACTAAATAATTTGAAAAAAAAAAAAACTAAATTAATTCAGTAAAAAAAAATTAAACAAAAACAAACAAGAATTAAATAGAATAAATTAAAAGAAAATAACATAAAAATCAATATGAGAAGAAAATAAAAGTTTAAAAATGAAATAAGAAAATTAACATAAACATAAGATATTTAAAAAAATAAGAAAATAAAAAAAAAATTTTTAAAAACAGGATCATAATAAATAATGAAAAACAAAATTAAACAATAACTTTTGAAAAAATTAACAACAAATTTGAAAAGCAATAAAATAGAAAAACTCAAAAAAAAGGCGTAACATATGAATATTAAAACGAGAATTAAATAAATATAACTGAATGAAATAAAATAAAATAAAATAAAATAAAATAAAANTTTTTTTTTTTTTTTTTTTTTGTTAACAACACGTTTATGTCTGCTCTTCGATTTTTAACTTAAAAAAATTATTAAAGCGGACCCTAATAATGATAATGATGAATAAAACAATACTTTCCAAAAAAAAATTCAAAAGAAATAAACCTTGTCAGTGTTTCAGTAAAAAAAATATTTTTTTTAACAAAATATTTTTAAATTACAATTTTTTTTTTCGTTCCGAGAGTAAAAATAATAATATTTATTGTTTAAACTTTATAACAAAATCAGGGTAATTTTCATCCTTCTGAAAGTGAAGTGTGTGTATGCATGAGCTTCCGATTCAGCGACAAAATCTATTTTTGCAACGAAGCATTGCGACGCCACTCTCGCTTATTTTTCTTACTACAACTCACACCATCAAGCAATGATAATGAAATATGCAAAGGCATACAACAAGGTGTATGTATGTATGTATGTATGTTTATAAGAAAAAGGTACATTGCACTGTCACCATATTTACTATGCAATGCCAATTCGTGCCGCGACATGTGATAAGCTAAGCCGCTGATAGATAATGACACTGCAGTATATTAATATACCTACACGTATGTGTGTATGTATGTATGTAATTATGTACTCGTTTTGCCGTGTGCATATATCTATGTATCCTTAAACGTCGTTTAGTCTTGTGTACTTGTTGTTGTAGCTAAAATTAACCAACATGCACTTGGAAATGAATGAATCTGCGTAGGAAAGCGAAACGAAAAGCTAAAGCAAGATCACAGATACTTCAGCCATGCACTACAGAAGTTATTCCCACACACATACATACGTGTATGTACATGCATACATACATACATACATACATATGTACATTCAGACGCACACATTTTTGCGTGAAAATAGAAGTTTATAGAAATCAAAGAATGGAGCAAGGGCAAATAAATGTGTACGTGCATGGGTGTATGTATGTATGTACATGTTTATGTATTTATTAACGCGAGCTGCTAAGGAATCTATCAATTGGGGCAGCAACAAAAAAAAAAAACAAATAAGAAAAATAATGTATATTGAGATCAAGGAACTTTCTTAAGCGATAAATACGTATGTATGTACTTGTATGTATGGGTATATAAGACATTTCGGATTGAAAATTAGCACAATTTTAGAAATATGAATGAGCCCTCACATAAGGAAGAAAGATATGTATATATTTATACATGAATATATAAGTTTTTTTCTCAAATTGTATGTATGTGTGTACCAGAGTTAAAAAGAAAGCCTTTTGGTCAAACATTATTTTCTTAACTAATAAAGCATCTCAACTGCTTAAAAAATGTTAAATATTTTTCAATAATTTCGCATAAAACTGTAAATACTGCATTTTAATTTAATAATTTTACCACCAAATAATTGAACCATTAAAATTTTTTTGGAGAAAAAGTGGCACAAGTCAACAGTCTAGCAAAACAAAAAACAAAAGTCTTAACGCACAAAAATTAAAACAAAAAATACATCCACGTTTAGATACAAACACAAACAACTTTACTCTTTCTGTTTTTTAACAAACAAACGCATCGAGGCATAAAGTGTATTTTGGCTGTTTTAAGATCTTTTTCAAACATAAAAATTGTTGCCAAACGATGCGCGTCTCGTCTGTAGGCACTTAAAAACACACTGCCGGCCGATCACTCATATTCTTATGTGACCACAAATATACAGCGCCAACGCCAGCACATATACATTATTGGCAATTTATGAGCGTAGCAAATTCGGATGCAACAAAAATTCCAAGTTGCCCCACATTTTCTCGACGCGACGCGCCTGGCCGGCATTATAGTGCCCCCACAAACACCACTCAGAGTGTAAGCAGCATTGGCGAGCCGCTAGCCAAACGGCAGTCAAGTGATTTTGTTGTGAGTGGTTTCATTTTCTTTTTTTTTCTCTCTTCTTATTTTTACACGAGTTAATGTTTATGTAGTGTTGGATTTATTTATTTTTTTTTTCACAGCTCACGCATTTTTTGTATCGAAATTAGAAATGCACAAGAGGTTGAGTGCGTAGCTGCCTACGCAGTGGCAAAGAAACGTATAAATGTATATATGTGTATAAGTATGTGCATATCGATAAAGAAACTATAGCGAAAGTGTTTGTATGAATTTTTTTTTTCTATGCTGGAACGGTGGCTAGCGAAATTTCAAAGGCACTTACGGTAAATTATTTACTATCACATATTTATTTGAATTAAATATACCTATTAAACAAATAAAAATTAATTGGGAAATTGTCTTAAAATAAAAAATTCCAGACTTAAAAACATTTGTTGACGATTTCTGTTTCGCTTTTCGATAAAACTTTTAAAATCAATAAAGAAATAGAAATTGCTGCAACGAACTCGTCAAAATTTCAACGAAAACATTTTTAAAAGCAAAAATTTGTGGCAATCAAAAAAATGGTGAAAATAAACAGACTTTAATAACGGTAGTTATGATATTTTAGTGGCGTATTAAATGTTGCAAGCCGCCAAGCCGCAAGGAAAACAAAAGAAGGCAACAGGAAATGAGTTCACATGAAAATTCTGTCAAATTTTATATTTGGCGTATTTTTTTTTATTTATTTACTTTTTTTTTTTTGGTACCTACAAAAATCGAATTTTTATAGACAAATGGGTGCCCGCACTGCTGACGTGCTAAATTTGTTTTAATTTTCTTTTGTTTTTGCCATTTTGTGACAGCTGGCTTCCGACTAACCACCGCCTTTTTCGCGTACACTTTTTTTCGTCTACCGAAATTTACTTAAAAAATATATGTATTTGTTTGAGATAAAAAAAAAAACAACGAACATTTGCAGGTTCATGAAATATACGTAAAATAGTAGGTATAGTAAATAAAAAAATATGTCGCCGCCATGCATCAGCTGGAGAACAAAGAAATTGCGAATAAAGCTTATTTATACGTTCTTGGCATTTTTATGGACATGACGGCGAAGTGAATATGTACATATGTATGTATGTATCTACTCGTAGAAATAATCGGCGAGTGTAAACAAAAGTAAAAGTGATTTTTTGGTGGCATGTTTATATACATACATATCTACAAAGCTATAGGTATGTATTTGGCAGGAGATGTACCTACATTAAAATGCATGCAGAGCCTTATTTGACAGGAACTAGATTTAAAGCGAAAAGCGAAACTTTTCAGAAAACAGAAAAAGCAAAGAAAACTTCCATACATATGTATGTATGTACATACGTATACACGGAAGCAAAACACGGCAAACCCATAGCCGCAGCAGCGTAACGAGTAGCATAATTATTTTGCTTCCCTGTGTGGCCTGTCCTCCTTGCACCACATTTAACAGATCCGCTTTAACCGGCCGCAAAATGGAATGCATGTAAAAAAAGTGCACATATGTATATTACAGAAAAGCATATATGTATGTGTATATGTTTATAACATACAAATTGATATAAAATTAAACAAAAAATTCAATAATCGAATAAACTGCAAAAAAATACTTGCAAATAAACGCACTTGCTTGCTTGCCTAGCGGCTTTTACATACGTTTTACCAGCACAAAAAGGTGGGAAATGAGTGAATAGGAGAAAAAAGGCTACGTATAAAAGAAAGAAGGAAAAATTGCAGTTGCTGCGGCGCCCAAAACAACCGGGCACGAAGAAAAGCTCACGCGTTGCCAAATATACATATGTAAGTATGTATGTACATCTGTATGTACATATAAACAACTCATGACGTTAACTATTTCGCAACATCAATGCTGAAAAGTTAAACACAACCGGTATTAGGACCGCAACCGATTAAATTCCAATCTGCCGAAAAAAAAACCACTTCAAGATCAAAGTCGCCGTCTGTTTCCTTGTGCAAAACCCAATAACCATGGCAGAGACAATCGAAAATCATGTGGATAAAAATGATTTTAAAAGATAGGTATAAACGATAAGAAAATGGTAAAAAAAAGCTTAGTGTAAAAACTGTAAAGCAGAAATGAAACCTGCAATGTTGCCAACGTAGGCGTCAACGTCGCCGCCGCAGCTGCTAAAGGCAAGCTGACATTACAGATCCTCAGGAAACAACGGAATTTACCGACGACAAATTAAAGAAAATACTAGAACGGGAAACGAAACTATGAAATTAAGCCGTTATATATTTTTGGTAAATCAAACGCGGTTGTAAGAGAATCATGGCGGAATATGGCACCTTGTGGAATGGTGTAAAGATTCCTGACCAAATTTTCACAAATAAAATTAACTTGCATACATATGAATATATATATATTTACAATTATTATCTATGAGTTTCTTCACGTGTGAAACGACTGGGTTTATTTTATTGTATTTTCGGAATAGAAAGCTAAAGAAAAGTGTAAAAAGATTTCGCAATAAGATAAAGGTTGTGCTTAATGGACAACATACAGAAAATATTGCAGCAAGTATTATTAGAATTAATAACAAGATGAACAACGCGACTAAATCTAACAAACTCGGACAATTGTACAGATCTATTCCTGGCAGAAACATCAATCCGCCCAAACATATCATAATATCCTGGATGATACTTTTAACTTTTGGTAGACCTTAGATGGCTGAAAATCCAATAACCATGGTTTACACAATCGGAAGTAATATCGCTTATAACTGAGGTAAAATAGATAAGCGCTCTGAAATAGCAAAGGAAAGCACAACCTAAAAAAAAAAAAAACATCTGCAGAATCGCCAACGTAGACGCCGCCGTTGTAATCGTAGCCGCTAAAGGCAAGCTGACTTCGCATTTCCACCAAGAAGCAACGGCGTCGACGGACGAATAGAAGAAAATAGAACGGGAAACGAAGCCATGGAGTGGGGCAATAAACATTTTCTTAAAACAATTTTGTGTAAACTTCAAAATATATATGAATGTATGTAGTAATAAATAAGAACATTACGTTTTGTTACTAAATCCAAGATACACCAATTCGTTGCAGTCGTATATATAGAAAATTTTCTATGCCCCAACTTTTATTTTAATCGTAAATTTCTTTATGAGTTTTCTTTCTTCACAGCACACTTGTAACTTTGCTTGTATTGGTATCTTGCATTTTTTTGTGCAACCTTTTTTTTGCTATTCTCGTGACTTTCTTGAGTCTAAAATATCTATGAGCTTTGTCTTTTTCACTGCACAGCTCAGAATTTAATATAGATTACTATGGTTTGCACTGTTTTATTTATGTGTTTATATTTGAACTGTTGTTATTTTTCTTTTAGCTCATATTCAGCAATCTTGTCTGTACATTTCATCGAATATTTGTGATGGAACCGAGGCGACTGCGAAATTTAAAAATGCATCTACGCGTACGGACGAAAAAAACGGACTGAAAGCAGAAATATACAAAATTCCAAGAAGAAGCGGATCAGAAAAGTTTGCCAATTGGATTCGTGTAGATAGTTGGCAACGCCGCGTTGCCGTAGTGCTGCCACATCATGTAGGAGGTAGATAAAATTCAATGTTTTAAAATACATTAGAAAGTACTTCTATGAGTTAAATGCAAATATTTTAGACGAGGTTCTATTAAGCAATAACTTAGTTGATTTTTTATTATTTTCATGATAGTGTTACTTGTAAATCACTTAACCTAAAATTTTATCTCATAGTTCTCTTATCAGAAAAGCGTTGCCAAGATATATTTGGACAGTACGAAGATAAGGAAATTAGTACTGTACGTGTTTCTTTTACGAAAACAAACTCATATCAGCGAACGTATGGTGAACAAATTGTCCCTTTCAAGATTAAAAGATTTGTGTTTATATCAAATTATTGAATGCTCTTTAAAAGCCTTATCTATCATTTTAGTCGACTTATCCAAGTCCTTAATTTAACAAGAAGCTTCCATTTGTTTAACATGATAATAACATCGTTTATTCACCGAACAGGCATGTGCTCAATGCATTTTAAACACATTTACAATGCGCTACACAGCAGCCGCATACGTGATACACAACATTAATCCGCGAAATATAGTAAATAATTATTTTTTCTTAATATACTTCATGTATTTTTTCGCATTGAATGTATCCTCTACTTCCTCTGCAATCTTAATCTTCTTTCGTGGCTTACGCGCTTCCAAACGAGCTTTCCGCTCAGCCTCACTCAGTGTACTCAGATCCAATGGCAACTGTCGGATACAAAATTTTAATTTGCAAATTGTAATGTTTTGAAATACTGACCTTAATAATTTTTCGAGGCTCATGATAGCGTATATTGATTGTTGATCCATCGGGCTGCACCACGACGGTGGGATACATGCGGCAGTAAACTGAACGATGCAGACGTGTTACAGCTGCCGTGGCTGAAGAAATACATCGTACTTGTTTTTGACCCGTAGTCAATATTTGTTTTAGCAACATATTATGTATTATCTAATCCGATGTTAATATAAATATGTCCCTGTTGTAATATATTTGGAATTATAAGCAGTCTTGTTTTGCAAACAGCTGATAATTTACTCGTTCTTGATAGCAAAAGTCCAACGAATCAGTGCTGGAATTTATTAAGATACTTGACGATTGATTCTGAAAACAGAATGTAAGTGTCATTACAAAAATGTTTAACATATGTGGTAGTAATCACTGTCCTTAATATTCAAAATTCAAAATTATGTTAAAGTATTGTAAAATTGTTTCAAAACATTTAAAGAAATATGGGAAATGTTTTCCCCGGCAACCCTGCAGAATCGCTGCATCTCATTCGCTGCTTTTACTTAATCGTTGACTTTTGTTTCATTCGATTGAGTTGTCAAATAGGTGAGTGCTAATAATTATTGGTTAGTGGATTTTTTAATGAATTCTTTATATTTGTAGCTTTTAATACAAGGTAAATTTTATGTAATCATCCTGATGTCGTACGTAGAATAAATTTGAACTGCGTTTTGAAAAAAAAATGCTGTAAACTTCGCTTTCATTTAAACACAAATTTCCGAATTAATAAATAAGAAAATTACATAATTGCCAGTGCCATACTATGACGTTAAAAGATTTTGCTACTTTCTGCAGTATCACGTTCTATAAAGAAATATTTTTTTTATCTCTTAATATTTAACTTTTATTTCTTTTACAGATATCCTCTTGAAAATCATTTGCTGTTGAAATGGCTTCACGTCGCGTTGCACAGACTTCCATAAATTGGGCCTCTCTAGCTGAGCGTGTGCCTGCTAACCAAAAGCCCAATTTTGCTGCATTCAAAACCAAGTCGGACGCTTACTTGCGCAGCGTTTTGGCCAACCCAGAAAATCCACCACAAATCAACTGGGCTCACTACAAGCAATTGATTCCAGTTGCTGGTATGGTCGACTCGTTCCAAAAACAATACGAATCGTTGAAAGTGCCCTACCCAGCTGATAATGTGAGCTCAGAAGTTGATGCTCAAATCAAGGAAACCAAGAGTGAAATTGATAATTTCAAGAAGAGCTCACAGGCACGCATTGTTGAGTACCAAAAAAGTATTGATCACCTCAAACAATTGCTGCCATACGACCAAATGACCATGGAAGATTACCGTGACTCGTTCCCTGACCAAGCTTTAGATCCTATTAATCGCCCAACATTCTGGCCCCATGATGCTGAGGAACAAAGAGACAACAAAGACCGTGCACATGCTGAGCATTGAGTTTCGAGTAGTTGTCTAAGCCAAAAAGCGTCTAGAATGGTGATTTAAACGAATCGTTGTAACTTGCAAATATAACCATTTACATGTAATGAATCTATATCGAAACTGTTGTTTATTTGTAGTTGAATGTTGGAGTAGGAAAAATTTCATTAAGTTGAAATTTTCATTTTATTATAATTTCTAATTTTGCTTTCAGATATGGATACCATTTTGCTAAGTTTCCGTGAGGATGGATCTATTTAAAAAATTTTATTTATAGCTCGTTATTATAGGACCGATCTATTGGAGATAATTATATTTAGAATTTGATTTGCTTGATAATAACATTCAGTAAGTTTTCAAACATAAACTTAATAATGTTTAAAAGCGAATTAAAAATCTCATGAGTATCAGTTTGAAATTCCATCCCGACGCCGGCAAAATCTGTTCATTATAAGAATTATTTTAACTAGTAAACACACACCCGCTTAAAAATGCGGTAATTGAAATTTGTTTCCTCTGTTATCTCTGTTATTATTAATCAATTTTCTCGGTCCTCTATTTGGATATTTTAATTAAAATTTCGAAAACGTTTTGTGGACTTCAATAATGGCGCAGTTGTGTGACGCCGTTGAATTATTTTAATTCAGCGCAAAACAATATTTTCATCAATCATGAAGCACAGGGTTGCAACGAGCTATTTTATTATTATTTCTTTTTAGTCCTTTTTTATAAAGAAATTATTAATTAATGCTATAGCATTATAGTACATTCTTAAATTACTCTAAAAATTTTACAAAATTACATAAATATTTTTTTTTCTTTGTGCTAAATTTACCAATGCTCCAAAGCCCCAACGCTCGGCGATACAACTCTGTTGGTGGCGACGTCTTCGACTACTCGCCAATCGTAAATTTGTTGTGGCCAAGTGTGGATCCACGAACAAGTCAGAGTGCAATTCATTTTTTACAAGTAAATTGTGGAATTTTCTTTTAATTTTAAAATATTCGATCGAACAATTTAAGTTTAAAAAATTATATACGCGCTTGGCTATTCAACACAATCGGAAAACCCATCGCGGGGTTTATTGGAAATGAGTGCTGGCTTACATTTTCGTGTGTAATATGTGCAAAGAAAAAAGATCTAGTTGGAAATTTGATGTGAAGTGAAAAAATTAAGCGAAATTTTCCATGTAAGCATATTGCAAAAGTCTCAGTGCAAATAAATTTTTCATCTAAAAGAAAGTTAATATGCTGAAAAATGCATGCGTAAATTTTGCATTTTGATATTATGTTGTGTGTCGTAGGGCGGAAACTGCATTTGCGAGTAAAGGAGCGACAAAGTAAAGTCGAAGTGCAAATATCCACTAAGATTATGTGCTAGCAGATGTTTTTTTTTTGGGTGCATGGTGTGCAACAAATAAAGTTGAAAGGAGGCCACTGAAGAAGAATCAGTAATTATACCGTCATTCGTTTCGTTGATTGAAATTTTGTGTACATTTATATCAAACATACATATATAGCGGGAATTGTGAAAATCAGTGCATTTTACATTCTACGCTTCATTGCGTCATTCCTGTCTGGTTTGGTGTTTCTTTGTTATGTTTTTGTTCGTCACACGGTGCGTCTATGCCTTGTGTATGCATGCCTTTATGTACGTGTGTATCTTCCGCATTTCCTTGTGAATTATCATTCCGGGTGGTATTTAACGTTTCGCTTTTTGTTGCATTTGTTGGCTGCCAACATCGCCTTGATAATAAATTGTTGCTGCAGTTTGGCCATCTGTGCAAGTGCAAAATATACGTCAGTGCGCCTGGCCGAAGGACGACGCCTTTTTTCAACCCAACAAAAAGTTTCAAAACAAAAAGTCTTCGTCCGTGATAAGACAAAAAATTACTACGAGCTTGGAACCGAAAAAAAAAACTAAATCAAAAGCCAAATAAAAACTGTGGGCGGCCGTGATTGTATTCCTAGTAAGAAAATTGCTCCCAGCATAGCAGCAATAACCACAAACAAACTGTATCAAGAAATAACAGCAAGTCAACGAACGAAAGCTACAAAACAGGCATAAAATGGACACATTTCGAAAGTGGCTGAACAAACCAAAGGTGAGCTAAAGCAAAAAAAAAAAAACTATATACGAGTATATAAACAAGGTTATTTTGCAAAATTATCATAACAAGTAGTGCTAAACTTTCAAGTTTAAAATTTTCCTGCTTCAAATTGTGGTCATGTTAATAAAGTGAAGCTAAGAACATGCTTACGTGAACGGTAGATTTCAATATTGTATTCGAACATTTTCAGAGAGCTCGAGTTCGAGCTCTAGCATTTGGGGAAAGAGTATTTGAACAAATAGAGCGAGCACTTAGGATTTCTATCTTTTGACCAAAAATGCCTTAATTTGCTTTTTACTTAACCGCAACTCTTTTAGATACATACATACATATGTCTTATGGGATTTTGTTATGCGTTCTTAAATTTTGAAAAATTAATTAAATTTTTACTAGCTAACACTTTGTATACTTTAAACATTAAACTAATATAATTATCAGCAAGTTCCCTTCAAGTATTGATACCCGCTTATCGAGAGCTCTAATATAGCCAAAAATATCTTTTTACATTCATACATACATACATATGTGTATACACGCACATATGTATGTAAGTGTAAAAATCTTTGTGATTGGCCCATTAAAACGACAAAAACACATCAACATCTGATTGTAAAAATATTGAGATTTCTTTATCAGTGTTTACCTACCCATATTTTGTTCTATCGTGGAAATATAATTAATTTGTTTTTGTTCATAATTTTCTTATATTCTGATATGACAGTTGGTAGGGTAAGGATAACAAAATAATTACTAAATTACTTATTAGATTATTATAAAGAGAAGGTGTACGAAATTTCTTAATACATACATATATAAATTTTTTTAATTTTTCCCATTTACTTGCGGTTCAGATCGCAGTTAGAAATTAAAACAACTAACGGGCGTTGTTTGTTTACTTAGCGAAAATATCGCTTCCTCATTCCGTTTTGTGATTCTATTTGGCTGCCACTTTTCATAACATTCCGCTCCGATCATTACCAATTCACTTAGACAAGAAGCAACGTCTTGATAATTGTTTGTATTGCAGGCATCAACCAACCACTCGTCATTAGCAACTTCATTGATCGTCGCGTCGTCTCATCAATTTTCCTGTTGCCGCAGTCACGGTTATTTACTTCTGGTTTTACTGTTGCTCTATAGCTCACGGCGTTCATCGCAGTTTCATGCTTGTGGTGGCATCTCTTTGTTTATACTTATGACTAAATATATATGTGCATACATACATATATGAATGTTTGTATATATTTACATACATACACGTATATATGGGAGTACATTCATTGTTATCTTTTTGTAAATTCTGCAATGTGTATGTATATATGTATGTATGCGTATGTTTGTATATATATACATACATAGATAGAGAGAGATACACATTCGCCTTTCATTTATTTAAGCAGCTTTCAAATTGTTATTTCCAGTTCAGGAAATTTCTTTATGCGTTTGTCTGCGTTGTTGTTTGTTTTTGTTGTTGTTGTTGGTTCTTCAATTAACTTCAAAAGCTTGCAATTCATCATTCATTGCCCGATCGCATGCAGCAATTTAGCACACTAACTGGGCCCTCGTTCGAAGCCGGATGTGAGGAATTTGCTCGTACATAGTGGTTATTTGCTGGCAGTGTGCAGCAGGTTCAAACACATCTACATACATACATACAATACATACATATGTATGTGTGCGTGTATGATTGTGGTTTTTTTATTTCGTCTTGATTTCTTTGCCACGTTTTCAACATGTTGCATGTGCCTAACCAGATGTGTAGCGAATTTCTGTGGAAAGTGGCTTAAAAGTGGTTAGGTATTTTTAGCAATCGTTGATGATAACGGTTATTGGAAACTTTTTTCTGAGCATAAAGCTTCGTGGAGTATATATGTGTGTGCATGTATTTCATAATTTGCAATGTATTTACATACAAAAAATATTAAAATTTTTAAATCTTAAAACTTTGTTTCGAAATAGAAAATTATTTCCCAAAAAAAAAAAACAATGGTTTAATAGGTTAATTAACGGTAATTTTTCGTTGAAATTTCTTTCCATCAAAATGATAAATTTAAATAAAAAAATAATAAGGAAAATATTACTGCTAACAGGTTAAAAAGAAACAAAAAAAAAATATATAAAAATTTCAGATTTGAAAATAAAAACCGCGACATATATCGGGGTTTTTCACATTCCTTAGAGTCCAGTAAGAAAACGTAAAGCTTGCAATTTACATATATGTATAACTTTTGGCTTACATAATCGGCTTAATATTTCCTATATGTATGTATGTACTTTTATTAACTTTATTATTTATCATTATTAGACACAGATGTTAAATTTCCCTCCTCGAAATATTAGTTATTTTTGGGTGAAAAGTGCGAAAGTAAAAGTTTTTCCAAAATAAAGTTCAAATAATAGTCATTGCACGAGCAAGATTTTTCACAATTATAAGTTCATATGCACATACATACATACATAAGTATACATAATGTATAAGTGAAAAAAGAAAGTATTTTCAAAATCAATTGACACTATTTATTCGCCAACTTTTTTATTTCGCCATGCTTGATTTTCTCAATTTTTTTTTTTTTTTTGAAAAACACCGTTATCTCTTTTGCCAACCACAAAGGCTACCTACCACTATCACGACTACAAACAATCCCACGCCGTCTGCCACTCTTGCTTTCAAATGTGGCAAATAATAAAAATTCAGTGTATGATGAGCTATAACAACAACAAAAGCAGCATTAAAACGGGTAAAATATGCAAAAAAATAAAAATAATTATAATTGGACCAATAAGTGTAAATAATTATTATTTTATGAAAGTGATGGTAATGAAGCTGCCAGCACACACACACACACACATGAGCGTTTATGGAAGAAACAAAAAGAAACTTAAAAATATAACAAAAGATTTGTGGTTTTTTTCTCACTTTTCGAACTTGTAGAATTATGATACGCGCTGATGTATTCCCAAAAAAAAAATGTGTTGCGTACTTGAAGCTGCCGGAACCTGTTTGCTG